TTTATAGCTATATCGAGCGATATCATCATGAGATATATGATGGTTGATCTATATTCAACAATGGGTCGCCATTGGGTTGCAGATGGAGATGAATTTCAATACCCATTAAATCCAAATTTGCATTACTCACATGTCGCCGTCAATACCATGAGAGCTGAGTGAGAATTTCGCATAACTCGAGCAAACGTTCTTGTTGAGTTATATCATGAAGTTAATATTAAATTTCCTCGCCAGTTAGCCATGCGTATGCCAAATAACACTCCACAGTTGTTGCAAAGGGCATTGCATCGTATCCGCGACAAAATTAATCGCATGACCCAACGTTTGCAAAGGTCCGAACTAATGAAGACCGCAAATGAGCGTGTTGAAGATGAGTTAATGGATGATGCGCACCAGTACTTCACATGGTTTCCAAATTAGGCAATCTAGTCTATACTTGTTTGTTGCGCGCATAACATAGTAATTCTAGGCTAATAAATGGAATAAGAACACATACAGTTTTCAAAAACGGATATCATGGTTAGTAGAGGCCGGTCTTCGGACCGGGCGAAAGGGGGTGCTCATAGCTGACCTTCCCCGATCGTACCCAAGCTCCCGAGCCGAGACAACTCCGGTGATGACGGACATGTGGCCTTCGGCACCGAGTCAGGGTTTCCTAAATTTCCCCATTTAAAAAATATTTAGGTGGCGACTCTGTATCTGGAAAAGCAGTCCATGTTTGGCACTACTTTTTAAAAAAATCTGTTTCTCAAAACGATTTGCCAGATTTGGACTCTTTGGTTCAGATTAAGAACCGCGACAACAGAAAATCGCGAGTCCGAACTGTAGCAGCTGGGTCCCCCCCTCCGCGGGCTTGTTACAGTATATTATCTGTGAAAGTTATAATGTATGTTCCTTTAGATCATGGTGAGAACAAGGGCAGAAGATGGGGATGATTCAACCTCCGCACGACTTGATAGAATAGAGGCAATGATCATGGACATGGTAGAGGCCTTTAGGCAATAACAACAACAGCAATAACAACAACAGCAATAACAACCACCACCGCCACCAATGCCTGTGCCACCACTTATAGTGCAAGACCATCAAGCTAACGACCGAACTACTGCTCTTACAAAGGAATTTGAAAAGATGAAACTGCCATCGTTCAAGGGAGGAATTGATCCACTAAAGGTAGAGGCTTGGGTGCTTGGTATTGAGAAATGGTTTAAAGTCTTTCCATGCACAGAAGCACAGAAAGTCTTGCTTGTTACTTTTACACTAGAGGATAAGGCGCGCCGTTAGTGGATGCTTATCCAAGAAGAACACCAAGGAATGAATTGGGCTCAATTTTTGGACGTCTTCTATGAGAAGTACTTCCCACAGAGTATCTGGGATAGGAAGGTGTCGGAGTTTAAGAACTTGTAGCAAGGGACAAAACCGTAGCGGAGTATGAAACACAGTTTACCGAGTTAGCCCGTTTCGCGCCGCATTTGGTCGATACGGACTACAAAAAGGCAAGGAAATTTGAGGGAGGTCTTCGAGACTCCATTCTTGAGAAAATTAATGTGTTGAAGGTACAGAAATATGTGGATATATTAGATAGGGCCATCATCGCGGAAGGTAACTAGGCCAACAGCAACCGACACTCAAATTGGAAGGGCAAAAGGCAAGGCTCTAATGTGCACAAAGGGTTGGTTTCCTCACAAAATAAGAAGCAAAATTTGGGAACTTCCAACATTGTGGGGTTTAACTATGATTCACCACCAACTTGCTCGAAGTGTGGGAAGAAACATCGAAGGGTTTGCCATCGAGCATTAGGAGCTTGCTTTAAGTGTGGGAAGACAGGACATATGATGAGAGATTGTCCTATGTTTGGGCAACAAAAAGGGAATAGGCCAACTGCTAGTTCAACCGGTTCCACTTCTGCAACAAAGACCCTGGCAAGGCCTACTACTTCTAGAGACAATGTTAGGCAAGGGAGAATCTTTGCCCTTGTTCTGGGCGATGTCCAGAATTCAGACGCAATGGTTTCAGGTATGCTTTCCATCAATGGCCAACCTGTTCATGTGCTACTTGATTCGGGTTCCATTCATTCCTTTGTTTGGAAAATATTTTCTCCTAATTTGAATAGATCTATGGAACCCTTGAATTATGTGTTGTGTGTGTCACTCCCATCCAGGGACTATATGTTATGTGCTTCTATATAAACTGCATGTGAGCTTTTGCTTGGAGATATTCCATTATATGTTAATTTCATGCCTCTTGATATGGGACACTTTGATATAATTTTGGGAATGGATTGGTTAGCTAAGTATTATGCAAACATCGATTGTGTGTCTAAGCAAGTTGTGTTCCACTCATCGGGTCAAAATGAGTTTACTTTTTGTAGGACATGGGGTAGTCCCTCCAGGTGGTTTCCGGCTATAGCCGCGATATGTCAGCAACAACTGGGCTTCGCTCTGAAGTAGCAACCCAAACCCTTGACCAGGCTGAGGCCGGAGGAAAAGATAAAATGAAGGCAGATGCCGATCCTATTGAACAACTGCTGTGGGCAGTTGAGGCTCTGAAAGTCAGAGGGATGAACAAGCAACAAACATCTGAGGTCGTGACCAAAGCTGTGGATGATGCTTTCCCCACTCCAATCAAAGGCAGTTCAAGCCAGGTAGAAAATCGGGATGGGCCCCGTCATGCCCAGACAATTCCTGTCGTTCCCAACCCTGCACCGGGAAAGGGCCATAAAGCCAAGGCGGTGCCAGCCGACCCTTTCGCTAGCGCATCTGGCAAGAATCCCCAAGCTTCAAAGTACCTGCCCCGAGGGCGCAGGGTCTTTCACGACCTCCACATGCCTTTGTCTAGGGCATTACTAATACTGGCGAAGAATGGGCATCTTAAACCTTTGGAGCCCCGGCCACTCCCGAAGAATCTCCCCGCCACCCATGATGCTACCTTAT